CCGTGCGGCCGAGGTCAATGACCCCGCCAAGGCCGCGCGGCCGAGGTCAGTGACATTACTGTACTATGTATATAATACATATAATACAATATAAAGTATAATATAAATATATAATAAATTATATGTATAATATGTATTATTTAATGTTATATATAATATAATTCGATTCGACTCGATCAACCAACCAACCAATCGGCAACGCGGAAAAGAGGCAACAAGGTGCGACATATTCGACTCCAAAATCCGCGCATTTCTTGGTCCAAATGCCTTTTTTAATATAGGATTTTCTCTTTTCATGCGAACGTAAGTCACGCTTTTACACGAAGACCAAGTATAAAATTCATGCAATACGTAAAATTCTTAAAAAATATTGCCATTCATAAGGTGCGTTCGCTTTACGCGCTTTGAGCGTCAGTCTATCTTTGTTCTATATTTAAACAACAAAATAAAGAAAGACTGACACTTAAAGCGCGTAAGCGTCCAAAGCAAACGCACCTATGATTATTGCACAAAATGTTTTTTTTTTTTTTTTAAACAATAACACACTTATCAGTTACTTACATCAATATTTGTATTTCTTTATATTATAAATATTCTATAAACTGGCGTCAAAACTCACTTTCGTGCTAAAAGTGTATATTGTCTATAACACAATGAAAAAAAAATAGTGCGTTTAGCGCGAAAGCAAGTTACAACAATCCAATGTCACATTACACAAAAGAAATATTATATACAAGTATATAAAATCATTATGTAGGTTGTTTATGTAGATCTTTTGACTGTTCTGCTGTCTTCTTCTCTATCGCTTGCTTCTTTTGATTTGGTTCCCACAAACTACTTCTCACGAATCTCTTGGCCGCATCTTTGTTTACACGCGGCATAAGCAACTTCCTATCGCTAATTTGTTTCGCTCTTAACATTGCTTTCTTCAAGCGTTCGTTCTCTGATTTAATTCTGTGCTTCGACGGGTCTTTTCCTGCAACAATCGATTGTGATTATCTTAAATACAAACACTGACGAATGTTTGTATTTTTTATCCGAATTGATTTACCTTCAGCTCGCAAGTACATCCAGAAGAGACTGTTGAGACTGTACGATAACAACAGCTTGTAATTAATTTTGTCGGAATTTGATAGCTTCTCGAAGACCGAGGGATTGTTGATCAATTCGATCATGTCCTGGATTTTAAACGCCGCTTCGCCGAATTGTTGCAATCTGGCAATCAAGTTCTCGTCGTGCGAAAGTTCTTCGAAATCAGCGTTCATGTTTTTTTTTTTTTTTATTTTTAACTTTTACAAGTTTAGGAATTGAGATATCCTGATATCGCGTGTTTTACACACAAGTAACATTTAATATAATGTTACTAACTCAAAAAGTGTTTTTTTTTTAATACCACTGTTTTATTTCACTACATACGTGGTTTATACATAACCCTAATATCACTTAAATTTCGACTTGATCAGAGAGAAAAGCCTGAGAGCGGCCATGCCATAGTTGTTTTTTTACGACGGTTTCAGCCGCTACTTTCAGCGCCGGGTTCCACTTTGCGTGGAATTCGCGAACTACGAAACGAGTTCCACTTTCAGGCGCATACGATACAAATGTATCTCGGTTAGAGTCCGTGCTAGATCCACTTTTATTCATGTCGTTGGACGTCACGCACACGGACACGGTTTCGTTTGTGTGCGTGCCTTTATCACCGATGCTCTCGATGCTTGGCAGTTCTACTTATCGACAGTAAAGTGGATGTAGCACGGATTCAAACCGAATAAAAGTGAATTTAGCACGGACTCTAACCGAAATACATTTGTATCATATGCGCCTGAAAGTGGAACTCGTTTCGTAGTTCGCGAGTTCCACGCAAAGTGAAACCCGGCGCTGAAAGTAGCGGCTGGAAACCGTCGTAAAAAACAACAGTGGCACGGCCGTCTTCAGTCTTTTCTCTGTTGTAACTAGAAAACGAGGTTTATTAGTGGATATCAAATGTATCGACATCACGACGTAGCCAATTGGATTTCGCACCTTATCCATCGTTGCGTGCGAGTCGTGTTTCTCGACTGAAGATCGTTGCTTCGTTCAATGGTAAAAAGACCGCAAGGAGAAAATTCGGGGGCGCCGACATTTTACTGCCTCCATCTCGGCGACGCTTTGTCCAACTTAGTGCGTTTCATTCCGGTTCTTCTGAAACGGAAGTGAATGCAAGTGAATGAAAGTTTTTGCGATCGAAGTTTGCTTAACACGTCGATCTGGTTCAACTTAGTTTTGTCACATGTGCCAAACAGATTGAGAACTTGACAGCGATCAAGTTTTTGTCGCGAATCGAGAAAACGAGAAAATCAAGATCACTTTACGCGGCTCAACCAGGTCTTCGACAAGGTAAGCGTCTACTTACTTTATTGGTGGGTGTGAGATATCCGAAGAGTACGAAAACAAAAGGAGTATTGAAACGTGCAGCCATTTTTTTTATTGCACGTACAAAATTAGCGACGTCTCTATAGATTCTTAAGGCTTTTAATTCCCTTTCTCAAAATATTTCGCATACGGAGTCTGGTCCGGCGAGCCTAAAAGTGTACGTACGCTGGAACAAAAAAATTGCCACATCATCAGGTATACTGTGTAAAATGTACTTACACATGTACGAATTTATAAATATTAATTAGAGAATTAATAAATGGTTTTACTGTACGTGTTTTTTAATTTTTTTCCACAGATTTATACGTGTGTCCAATGCATTTATTAATGTCCTCTTTGTCACACTATCTGTTTTCCACTTAATTTTTTATCTTTCTTGGAACATCTTGTCACAAAGTCATGTATCGTAGCATTGATCTGACCAAGAAAACTTTGATATCAAAAAGAATCATAATATTTATTTTTCACAGTTATAGTCTATAATATATGTCACATATGTTGTAAATTTATTCTGTCCACAGACTATTGACGCTGTATCCACTACAGCCACACTTTTCCTTTCTCTCTGTCTTGATCATCGATAACTCGTAACCATGAGTTATGGTTACAATAAGTACAGGTTTGTCTAATTGATCAAAAGCTTAAATAAATAGATCTTATACATAAAGATGTGAAAATAAGATACAAAATATAGGAAGGAAGAATATGAATTAAACAAAATAAAATTGCAAGTGGAATATGTAACACATGCTGAAGATGTAATGATAAATCTTTGAAACTTTTTGTAGTTCCAGCATGAGTTCTCGTGGTCGTGGATTTGGTTCTCGTGGAAGTAGCTCTTACAGAGGGCGAGGTGGTGGAGGTAATGACTGGAGCAGCAGTTCACCAGGAGGAAATATGTCTAGTAGAGGAAGTTATTCGTCTTCTAGAGGTGGCAGATTTAAATATTCAACAACTAGCTATGACTCCAGATCCAAGTACAATTCTGGTAATTTTGTGCAATAGATGAAAATTATGTCCAAATTCATGTATGTTCAAAAATAAATCGATACAATATTACTGATTAATTAATTAATTGATAGGAGGATCAGAAAGATATTCAAGCAGAGGCGGTCGTGGAGAGCATTCTAACAGTTACAAAAGACCTCGTGTAAGTATACAAAAAAAAAAGTAGATCTCAATTGCAGCTTGCTATAGCACTAAGTACTAAATGCGTTTTGATAGGACTCTTATTCTGCAAGAGATGATCATCGATCCTCTAGCGAGTCACGCAAAAGGATGAGAAGTGATTCCTATCAGGTATGTGTCTCATCCTCCACCCCTGCTTTCCAATACCTTTCATGTGTTTCTCCGTAAGATAAATTAATAATTTAAGCAAAAAAAAAGTATAAATAATATCACTATATTAATTCTGAAATCATACAGCTATAACAATTCCATAATTTAAAAAAGTTTTTAACGGGAGTTTTACATATATGTCTATCTTATTTGTAAAAAAAAAAAAAACTGATAAAACGATGGTCCTGAAAGTTTAATTACCTATTCACATTAAAAGCGTACGCCGTTACATCGTGCATTGTTACACAAAGGGATAGAAAATACCTTCAGGACACTCGTAATGTAAGATAGATTGGCATATTTTAGACAAAGAATTCATAAGTTGTCATAATTTCCTTTCAAGCGACGCAAACCAACGGCTTCTCGAACACTCATTCTTTTTGCCGTGGGGCGCAACTGCGACGAAACAAACTACGAAAACTGCAAATTATTAAAAGATGAAAATACCTAGATGGTAATTATAAAATGTTACATGCCACCCGCCGCATGTGGTCGTGTACATTATAAAAAAAAAAAAAGTTTAAGAGCTGTTCTCGTAAAATCAAAAAGGATTAAAAACAAACCGAACTGAATTGATGTGAATGCGTACATGCAGGCCACATCACGTTATTCTCCCGATTGTAGAGCAGTTAAAGCGCAATTAAAAACCACTTTACTCTGCAATAACAATGAGAATAATAAAGAAACTAAAAACAAAAATAATACAATAGAACAAAAAAAAAAAAAAAANAAAAAAAAAAAAAAAAAAAACTAATGCACGACATCTTCAAGCATCGTCTTATGGAATTTTTCATGAAATATATCATCCGTATACTGTGTGCGAAAAAAAACGTCTTTAAAAATTATATCGAAAGTTACGAAAAACCACAGAAATATATTTACATATTCGTAGACCTTTCCAATCGCATTAGGAAACAGTGATGGAAATGCTGGAAGTAAAATGCTTGGAAAGCATTTCGTATATTCAGGAGAATATGACAGAGAAATGAATATACGGATGTATATACGTATATGTGAAATATCTATCATTATTCTCAAGTTGCGACCAAGCATGAATATTTACAAGAAATTATCCACATAGAGACAACTTTGTGTTACTTTTGTTCAATATATTTATATCGCCTTTGTGTCAGAAAGATTTGACGCATCACGAGAGAAAGTTTCTTACACGTAACGATACGATTGTTAGCGACTAAATAAAATGTAATTTGATTAAGTTGGAAAGGTCTAACGAGAGCATTACAACTACGTGTCACATATATAGAGCACCGTATATAGAGAGACAAAATCTGTTTGTTAACTGAAGAAAAAAAAAAAAAAACGAGCGCTGCTACTATTCCCACGAATGCAAGTATTATGTGAACGAGATTAATGAATTTTTTGCAATACAGTTACGTGAGGTCACATTGAACAATGAAAAGACGTTTTAGGTTGATTCTCTCAATATTTATAGGGAAAATCAAGTTTATATATGTATGATGAATGATGAAGTATAAATGGATTTACAGACAAAAAAAAAAAAAAAATAGAAACGTAGTTAGTTAGCAGTTTAGCCAATCGGTCGATCACTTGATCAATCAGTCAATCATTGATCAGTGTCAGTCGGTTGGTCAATCGATTGATTAGCCCAGTTGGACAGTAGCAGTTAAGAGTTAAGCTATATATAAGTAATAGAAAGATCCAGAATAAACAAAAAAGGATAAACGGTAGGAAACAGAATAAAAGATACATATAATAAAATATGTACGTAGACTAAAATATAACAGACAAGAGATGAAATGTGAAAGAGAGAAATACATGGAAGGAGCACAATTGAATTTGATTTGGCAGGGTGGAGGTAGCGGTAGCGGTTCACAAAGGTATTCGTCGTACGGAGGATCATCCGCATCAACAACCTATGACGATAATAAGGGATCATCGTCGTCCGGCGTGTACGAGGACAAGAGACAGAGCGAACGCGCATCGTCCTATCATCGTTCCGAGGATCGTCATTCTGCCTCACGCAGCTACGCACCTCCGCCGCCCCCACGGATTAGCGAAATGGCGCCACCCCCGACTCAGAGATACGCTTCGAGTCGCGGCAGAATATCGCATCAAAACTCAAATTACCGAGGTCGCATTTCGACCCGCGGCAGCAGTGGCAGAGGGGGTGCGTTTCATCGCGTGAGTTCTAGATCGGACGTCGTTCTGGCTCGCAAGCGTTCTCTTCACTCGCTCGACTATCGTCGAAAGATGCTAGGCTCACGCTCACGAGACAGCTACATCCAACGTATGCGCTTGAACACTTCCAAACTGCGCAGGAGGTAATTTATTAATACAGTCACTCTTACCACAATCGTATATGCGAATGCTATTCTCGTAGCCTGTGCTTACTTGTTCTCCCTCGAAGAGTCGGTTCGACTTTAACAGACCGACTTTCGTTTCATGACCTGAGCGTCACAAAACGAATGATAGAAAAATCAAAACTTAGACGAAAATCTAAATATATATATATATACCTGTGTGAAAAAAAAAAAAATGTAAAATAATTAGATTGATACAAAGTCAACATACAAAGCAAAGTCCCACGAAACATATATTCCGCTGCTGAGAGAGAGAACTTTTTACAGGGTTCTAATAAAGAAAAAACTATCAATGACGACACGTATAAGCGCAATACGTGTACGATGTAATAACTTTCGATACGAGAGCTACTAAACTAAATCGTATTTTATTCGTCGTAAGATATAATTCTCTTTAGAGTTTACATACACGTAGAGCAGCATGACTGTATTAGCCGCATAATAATTTTTAGCACGACCGAGTTTGCGAAGGAAGTCAGAACGCGAGAGGGGGAATAAACCCAAAAACGAATAGTAAACACTACTTTTAACGTACAATAGAAAACGCAATGTTTATATTTTGGGACATAAGACCGATATTAAATCGATGCTATCGTGATATTTGCTACGTATCATCTATCAGCAAGTTTTGCTTGATGATACAACGAAAGACAGTGGAGCCCAAAAAAAAAAAAAATAATAAGCGAAATGAAAGAAAGTAATAAATCAAAACACAATTGATATGTCATTAGTAGCGGTACTACTAGGCTAGCCGGAAGTAAAAAGGACTCCGGATCGGGAACCAGCGTGAAGGACAAGGATAGAGAAATGGCCAAGGCCATAAATGCGGAGTTTTCTGACGATGATGAGGAAGAAGATGATAATAAAAGCACATGGGACGAAGAAGAGAAGGTAATTCATACAAATCGATGAAAAACTATACAAATAATTGCTTTATATCGCTGCAGCATGTAGTTTTAAGATGTATGTAATAGTTTCTTGAATAAAATTTTGTATAAGCAAAACTTGCTGCGTTGACTAACAATTCATTTGATCAAAATGTAACGTAGCCACACGAACGGGATGAAGAAGAAGAAGAAATGGAAGATGATGAAGATAAGAAGAAAAAGGAGGATAAACGGAAAAAGGAAAAACAGGATAGAGAACGACAACATACCGAAGACGAAGAAGAAAAAGATGATGATATCAAAGAAGAAGAGGAAGGTCAGAAACGAGAGGTGAGTTAATTTTTAGCTCTGGTATATATACAGTCGAGCTTTTCTCAAAACGTATAATTCCCCTATTCTCTCACTCTTTACCTCACGCATGCGCAAAGACTTACTTGGTATAAATTTATCTCGCGCTAGCGCAGTTTCGGTTTTAAATCATACTTAGTGGTGAGAAAAGCGATGAAGGGGAAATATACGTTTTGAGAATGGATTTGTATACGTTTTGGGAGGTTCGACTGTATTACTACTTTATTTACTGTTTTTTCTGATTTATACGCACAAATACATTTTATTGAATTTCTAGGAAGACGATGCTGATGAGGAACGAGGCAAGAGTGAAAAGACGGATCGTGATAGAAAAGCGAGTTCCGAAGAATTGCCGAGCAGGCGGGACGGTAGAAAATTTATAAAATTGAAGTGTCCACATTGCGCCCATCATAGCGTGACCTTCAAAGAATACTCGCTTCATCTATTCTCTGGCCGTCACAGCGCGGCGATGAAACGTATCGCGGCTCGGCACAAGGCGACTCTCACACGCATGAGAGTCGTCCAACGGCAGGAACAGAGACGCATCGAGGCTCGGGATGCAGCACGTGGTACATTGCCCTCGCGTACTATGTTCTGTGCCATTTGCAAGTTGAATTATCGTTCTCTGAAAGCCGCTCATCAATTGTCCGAATCGCATCGTCAAATGAAACGATTTCTCACGCCGTTCTGTCGGGTTTGTCGCATTCAATTCCGCTCCCCGATGTTTTTCGAAACACACATGTGTTCCCTGGATCATATTAAGGTGTGATAACATATTACTTTTCGATGTTATTGATTTTCGAACACAATGTAAACGTAATTCGATTATATCTCCTTTTCTTCTGTTTTATCAGAGAAAGAGTGTGCTGAGAGATAGAATAAACGGGGATGGAAGCGGTGAACAGGAAGCGGATTCGAGTGCGCCCGAAGAAGACGAGAAAGAAATGAATCTTGACAATTTTATGATAACTTTGGATTCTGTGGGCGATGTTGACGGTACGCAACAAACGAGTATATTCTATAAAGTTTTTTTTTTTTACATGGGGGAAATGCCTACGCATCTCCCGACCTCTGGGGGAAGGTCGGGAGTATGTGGGATTTGCACCTACTAAAACCCCCATGCCAATCGAGCGTGTTGTTGGGAGGGCCCGGAATCCTGCCAGGACCCTCTCGCGCTTTTTAACTGACAACTCGGGGGAGGGAGAGAACCTCCTCCCGGAAATCACAAAACCAGCAGCGGGACAGGGTATACACTGCCCCGCTGTCCCTCGTGGAACCGTGTGCAGAACGGATCAGGGTCCCAACCCTGACCCGTCACGGCTCCTGACAAGCAAGGTCAAGTATGTTAACATACTTTACATTTGTTAAATATCCCAAATCTCTCACACACATTGGCTCGCAATTGGCCTTGCTATCTTTCTTTTTGTATTTACAAAACGAGCGTTTCCACAACCTTCTTTTGTGTCTTTTCCAAAATTGATCATCGGATATTGGACTTATTGCTCAATATTTTTTCAATTTGTTTATTTCACTGTAATTTACAGGAGATGAGGAATCTAACGATAAAAAGAAAGAAAAGTCAGAAGGTGAGAGTCCGAGTGAGACAGAGAAAAAGACGAAAAGCAAGCAGATGATAAAAGTTGGAGCGGAATATATAAAACGCGTTGAAGTGCAATATTGTGAACTATGCAAGGTCTATCTGCCGCGTACCGAGAATTCTGAAAGAGCTGTCGCTCTACATTGTTCTACTCGTAGTCATCTCAAACGGTACGTATTGATACAACGGTACGTATTAATTAACAGCATTATCGTACCAATATGTATATATAAAATTATATTTTCAATTAAATAATACTTGTGGTCGTTGTGCACGTACGTTTTGTGTGTTTTTCTTTTAGATACGTTCGAGACAACGATGACAAGGCGCTTAGACGTCAAGCCGAGAGAATACATCTGCAATCATCGTCGTCTTCTTCGGCAAACGTGAATTCTACCAGTTCGGCCGTTAACACGCCAGAAGTTACCAAAACTTCTCCTGTGAATTCCGAGCCGCAAGTGTCGACAAGCACCGCGCCAGCGACGGCTACGGTTGACAATAACAGTACCAACGATGTGGAATATATTAAAATCGATGATGACAAGTCGAACAGCATGGAGTCCGAAAAGAACGCGAAAGAGAACAAGAATAATCAAGGCGACGAAGACGACGATGACGATTACCGTGCTCACGGCGTTGACAAATTGAATTGGGACGACGTCGATAAAGATTTGGGTGACATACTGAGAGAGAGCGAAGCGGGCGCGTCGAAATCAAGCGACGACGAGGACTCACGCTACGATCGTTTCCGCAATTCAGACAAAAAACAGCAGTCCGCAAAAGAAAAAGAGAACACGAAGAATGAGAGTGACGACAAGAATGGTAATAGTAAATCTAAAGATGCGAGAATCACGATCGAGAAGATGGATCTATAAGATCCGCTGTAACTTTTGATGATCGATGTTTACTTTGTTCGATCTATTTTCTGTCATACTACTTCAAAACTATCACAAAATTTATCATATTTCAATGGTTTCATCATTTTGCAAACCAAGCGTATACATAATAGATATACATTAATCATTAGTTAATGATTACACATCCGCTTGGTTCCACGAAGACAATTTCTACGTAATTATATATTTTTCACCGTATGAATAAGCTTCGTTTGCAAGTTGCTACAATTAATGTGTCAATTACATGAGCATTTAGCGTTATCAAATTTTGCAACTTCTTGATTTGTATATTGATTCAAATATATATATAATATATATATATATTATATATATACATACATTCATACACAAGTACTGCGCTATATATACAATTGTTTTGCAAGAATTTTGTGTGAGATTGTCGTAAAAAATCGTAAATAATTATAATTCATTCTATACATATATATACTATCTGAAAAATTTGACTACACGAGATTCACAATCTTTAGTTGTTAGCAACGTAACGAAAGGCACATGAGCGATGCGCCTTGTGAGAGAACAAAAATATAAATTTAATGTATGGACTATTGTATGTAGGTTATAATAAATTTACCATTCTGTAGAGAAGTAACAACTCAGAAGTATAATAACTCGCGCTTATCACACACACACACACACACACAGACGCCTTCCTGAATTGAATAGAATCTTGATTTTATTATACACAAAACTACAAAAAAATGTTGATTCATTCTCATATTGAATGTGCACTTTTGAACAGCGACTCGGAGCTACAACTGGACGAGGAAACGGTATTCCGAAGAGAAAAAAAGAAAAAAGAAAAACAATTATTCAACTTGATATTGCAGATGACAAAAAATGTTTTATATGTTGAAAAAAAGTTATATTTGAACGGAGGAAGGATTTAATGATAAATAAAACATTCACACATATATCTTACATGAAGACTTTGTTCTTTTATGTTAAGTAAATTTTCAATATTTTACATGTTACAACAATGTAATCAATTTTGTTAGAAAATATATCGCGATTTTCAATCCTTTTAGATTCGTAACAAAATGGTAAATCAACTGCAAAGTTATTACATAAAAAGTTAGCTCTACAATCACTCACGAGACGTTTTTAAGTTTTTTTTTTTTCCTATATTATTAGATGAGGATGTACGAAGAGAATCTCCTAACAGAGCGAGAGTATTATGAGAGTATATATCGTGTTGTGAAAAGGGAAGCGCGAATTTTTTGATCGGATATTGCGCTTTTTCATTGGCAAGTACTAAAAAGGAACTATTTTCTCGAAGCGCGCAAACATACGAAGAATAAATATTAAATAACAAATTAATTATTGAATACCTAATATATACAAAATTACACGTAACACAACTTCCGTTATTGCTATTATAAAACAGATATTAAAGCCGTATGTATGTTCCCTTCAAATTTACAATATATCCTATATATAAACGTCGGTATAAAAACGACACTAACGCGGTTCAAATCCGAAAACATCTTCGAATGTTTAATACAATACATACGCGAAAGCATCAAATATCAGATTACAATATCTCTGCGGCAAGAGTGCTGAAAAGATGAATAAACATTTTTAATGAAAATCTTTCAAGGTCATTCACTAAAACATAACATTGGTGAGATACACATAAATTATCGATATATATCAATTAATAAATCAAATTTCTCAAGAATTTATCATTCTTCGATACTAAAAAATGTCTCAAAAACTATAAACTCGTTTATAATTGAATGAAAAATAAATAACATGGGGATCGCACACAAAAAATAAATTGAACAATTAATTTTTTGAAGGGAACATAAATTTGTCTGTTTTCTCAAGGTGTGTTACTGAACGGTGCCCGTTCTACGCGGGAAGACTCATACTCTGATTTAAGATTCAATTAAAAAATTTGCCATACAAAAATATACTCTTCAAAATTTTAACAGATCCGCTCTACAGCTATGGGACACCTGGCAAGCAAATGGAACAAGTTCAAGGATGGTGATGCAATGTTAAAATGTCTCGGCGTCGTCGCAGTCGCGCGTGTCGTGCCCGAACATCTCACAGTTATCGCAGTACGGCCTCTCCACGGATCGCTTTTTCGGAGACTTTGTCGGTCTCTCGGCGTTCTCGGAAAAATCCTGCGCCTGCCGAGGACAGTCCTCCGTCTCGTGCAAATCGAACTGATCGCAAATATCACAGAACATACGGGGCGCGGCCGTTCGTTTATCCAGAGTGCTACGAGTGTAATCCTCGGCTTCGTTGGCGGGAACACCCATTTCGAGTACTTCGATCTTGCACTTCAGCTTCTCGTTCTTACGTTGCATTTCAACTATCACGGAATTGAGAAAATCTATCTGGCTCTTCGCGTTGTCATTTTCCTCCTGCAGTTTCGTAACGTCAATGTCCATCGCGATGATGTGTTGCTTCATGTCGCCCATCCCGTCGCAACTGTTCTTCAGATTTTCGTGCGACAGCTTCAACTGATTAGTCGCGTCGATCCACTTCGCGGTGACTTGTTTGTTCTCCTTCTCCAATCGACTTAGTTCATCCAGAAGTCGTGTCTCTTCCACCTTGGCAACGTTCAACTTTTCCAGCAGGTTCTGCATATTCTTGTTCACTTCTTTCTCATTCCTCTCCATTGTTCTCGCTAGATCGTCCGATTTTATTTCTTGCTCCCTCAGCTGCTTCTCTAGCGCGTTCACGGTGTTCTGTAGCTCGTGAATCCGCTTGTTCGCACCGCTCAGCTCGTTCTGCTTCAGTTTGATTTCTTCATTCCGCGATTCCTGCTCCGCTTTGATTCTTTCCACTTGCGCGTCCTCCAAAGCTTTGATTTCTATTTTCAATTTATCAATAGCAGTCTCTTTGTCAATTAAATCTACTTTCTGCTTATCTACAAAGTCTTGCGACGATCGCAACTTCTCCTCAAGCTCCTTATTTCGTCTATTTATATTCTCGATCTCTCTCTGCTTGATCGCGACTTCGCTCTCCAAGGAATTCCGCAATTTCAGCGTTTCTTCTTCCTTGGAGCTTTCCGATTCTTTTATCTTAACTTCTATTTCCGCTCGCATTTTCTCTTTTTCATTCATTTCCTCTCGCAAATGTGCCAGTTGGCTTTCCAAGGATTGCGCTTTGTTCTCCAAAGTGACTCTAGCCTCGGTCAGTTCGCTTATTGTGCTTTGCTTCTGTGTGATCTCTACTTGTGCGTTCTTCAGTTCGTTGCTGTTACGAGTGTTCTCGTCTTTCATGGATGCGATTGTAGCGTTTAATTCGACTATTTGTGTCCGCGACTTTTCCGCTTCCGCTTTCGTCTTCGACGCTTCGTCACTCTTATCTCTAATCGCCTCTTCCGCGTCTTTTAATTTGCTCTTCAGTTCATCGACCGTGGCAGTCATAGCGTTCAAGGACGTGATCAAGTTCTTATCGGTCGTTTCCTTATCGGCAGTCAAAGCATCGTTGAGCTTTTGCAATTCCGACAATTTGTTTTCCATCTCCTGAAGTTTCGAGTCCTTTTTCCGAATCGTATCTTCCAATTTGAGCGAATCCTCCTTCTGAGTATTCAATTTATCCGTCAACTCCTCGATCGACCATCGATCCGCGCTCTGAGCAGCCTCCAATTTGGAATTTGATTTTTGCAAACTTTTCACTTCGTCTCGCGAGGCTGACAATTCGCTCGACAACTCGGCGATATTTTTCTGCAAGGACGATATTTCTTCGTTAGAACTTCGCAAGGTATCGCATTCTCCTTGAAGATTAGCAATTTCGGTTTCTTTCCTCGCCAATTGCTCCGCAAGACGCTTGGCCTCGTCAGACTTTTCGTCCAAATTTTTCTTCACGCGTTCACTTTCCGTCAACTTCGACAACAATTCGCTCTCCTTTCGTTCGTATTCACGTATCTTTTCTGCATAATTCGCATTCGACTTTTTAGCATCTTCTATTTGAGACTGCAAACTTGACTTTTCCGCGTTCAATTGCTCGATCAACGCTGCGCTCTTGTTTAATTCCGTCTCGATATTGGATAATTTTACCTCCGTTTGTTTCAAACTGGTTTCTCTTTCGAAAATCTTCTCGCGGGCTTCGTCCAGCTCCTTTTCCTTTTGTCGCAACTCTTCGTTGTATTTCGACAGCTGTTCCGACGAATCAGCAGAACTGCTGATCGCGCTCGCTACATCAGATTCCTGTAATTTTGCGAGTTTAAACAATTAAAGTATAAAAAAAAAAATTAATCTCGCGGATTGTTTTTTTAATCGATACACGTCCTCAACTTTCAATTAAAAATACCAACCAATTTTTCTTTCTGCAGCGATAGTTGCGATATTTTTTCCTCCGCTCTCGCGATCTGTTGATTTAAATTCTGCACGTTCGTCTCGAACACACGAAGTTCGCTCTCCAAGTTGGTTTTCGTTTGCTCGGATAGTGTGAGAGCGTCTTGCAATTCTGAAAGATTCGAACTTCACACGTTATATCTTATGAGATCTTACGCACAAAATAAAATACAATAAAATAATATATATCTTACCCGAAGATTTCTCGAGCAGATGTTTGATCTCCTCATCCTTACTAGCTATAATAGCTTTGAGATCGGCGATGTCTTTCTCCAGCTTGGCAAGCAGCAGAGCTTTCTGTGCTACATCCGCATTTATCTCGTCAATACACTTGACTTGGTCGTTGATCTGCGTCTCGAAACGTTTAGTTATTTCTTCTATTTGCGCCATGGTGGCGCTTCGCAGTTCCGCGAGTTCTCTGTCCTTTATTTTCAATTCCTCGCTCAATTTGTTCAATTGCGCGTTGGATTTCTCTTCCGTAGCGATTAGAATGGCTATATCTTGTTCCTGAAACGAGTGCGCGAATTTGCGCAACGCGGAGATAAAAACAAAAAAAAAAAAAAATCACACAAGATGATACATTTTTTCAACGAAACGTAAAAAAAAGAAATGCTTACCAATTTTTGCTTCTCGTTAACAATTCTAACATTGTCGTCGCTCTTCGACTTGTAGTCGTAAATTTGTCTTGACAATACATTGTTGTTTTCTTCGGCCAGTTTCAGCCTCGTACTCAATTCTGCAAAAATATACGCAACATATTCGACAAGACTCTCCACATCGTCATCAACATGTTCTGTTAAATAACAATCCGATTTTTTTTGTTTTTCTATCTCTACGGAACGAACCTTCTAATTTTTTCAGAGCGTTAATCAACTCCTCGTTCTTCTTCTTGCAGAGTTCTCGTTCAGCAGCTAATTCAGTCAATAGTTTATCGGTTTCGGACACTTTTTGACTGAGTTGCTGTGAAACTTCGTCAATCTTCGAGTCCTTCGTACGCAACTGTTGTTCGAAAGACTCTGAAAGTTCATGAATATGCTTAACGTTCTCGGCTCTCAGGTTCTCCAGAGCCGCGTTCTGCCGCTCCAACAGCGCTTTCTCGTTCTTGAGCTCTTCGGTATTTGCCTGGATCAATCGATCCTTCTCCTCGATCTTTTGTCGATATTCGTTCAGTAACGAGTCTTTCTCGCTCAGACTTTCCTTCTTCATCGTATCGATCGTTTCCTTCGAGCGTTTCAATTCCTCGTTCAATAAAATCGTACTTTTGTCAAATTCCTGTTTCATGGTTTCCACAAGTGCTTCTCTGTCCCGCAAGCTTTGTCTAACAGCTTCCAGTTCCTTCTCCAAACGATTCTCGGATTCCTTGCGCGTCGTGCTCTCTTGTTGCGTTTTGCTAAACAGAAGTTCCAGTTCCCGAATACGATCCACACTTTCAGTCACCAGGCTCGATTTTTCCTGCACCTCTTTCTCCAGACTAGTTTTTATTTCCTCCAAACTTTGATTGCGACTCTCTAGATCTAAGAAAGACGAAAGAGAAAGAAAGGGAAAAAGGAGTAACGAAAATCGCACACAAAAAATTTAATAACTAGAATAGTTTTTTTAGACTTTGATCACACATGTGCGCGCAGGAAATACCTCGAAGCTGAGAGTTCTGCAAGTTCGTCGCTGAACTGATTTCATTACGCAACCGCGCCAATTCTTCTTCGGTCTCGAACAGCTTGATGCTGTCGCGTTCCATCTGTGCGGAACGCTCCCGCCGCTCCTCAGCAAGTTCTTCCTCGAGCTCCTTGATCCTGCTTTCATTTACAGTATTTATGACCTAGGTACGATAAGGGCAGTTGTTTAGCTTTGGGGGTTGAGATCGTACATATATAGCGCGTTTCGAGCGTTAACGTGTGTAATTACTTCCTTAACTACAAACATTGCGAAACAATCAGATGAAAAAGCGTTCCTTTTTTTTTTTTCTAAATGTAACGCAATAATTAAAGTTCACATCTGAATCGCGTCACGCGAGTACGTGAGCACTCACGTAACGATTGAAAAGTATGTGACGAAATAGTAACATGTCACAAAATAATTTTTGACATTATTTTATTTTTCAATAATTAGGGAAATAATAAACATATTAACGCTTGAATGCGTTGGAAAAAATTATAAGCACACTGACAATGAGATAAATACGCCAAGCGCGACGTGATATTATCGAGATGTGAAAAAAAAAAAACCCAGTTTCTTTATCAGGTATAAAGAGCGAAAGAAGAGAAAAATAAATAAATAACAGATACAGCGTGTGCCCAATTTGCAAAAAGCATATTATTCAATTTTGCCAATCGAATGTTACACATGATAACAAGCGTTCAAAGAGATTATTGAAATTAATTAATAATATAAATAACTTTCGTACTTAAAAAAAAAAAAAAAAAAAGCAATCGCAAACACACAATTACAATGCATTTTAATAAATAAATAAATAAACATGAATAATAATAATAATAATTGAACAAATAGAAAGTATAATATCACGCCTACAATAAGAATTCCGTAGCTGCGTGTATGTTTTTAGTGCAGAAGAAGCGTGACATATCGCGCGAAGCGTACAAATTTATAGATTTGGTTAAACACGGAAATATATATACGCGCAATTTCCTACAATCTGTGGCACGCGATGAATAATATATAATATAACAACCGTCTCCCCCAGAATACAACAATGTACAGTCCAATGTTTTCTCTTCCAACATGTTAGTGGAAATTATAACCGGCGCAGTTTTTTATTAGTCAGCAAAAGCGTTTCATTTCGTGTATTTTTTTTTTTGTTTTTTTTGTCCATCTATTTCAGACAAATTTCTGACGAAACTCTGTGAAGTGCGACGTAACGCAAAATGACATGGCTAGAGTGATGATTACACAAGCGGTGCCGAAATACTGCGTCAATCCTTCCAATCCTTTCCCAAACCTTCGGATACTCACACTTTGCTCAGATCTTTCTTTCTGAAAATAAAGGATAAAGTACGCCGGATTAACCGTGGAACGTGTTCACCATGTGGCTTTTTTTTTTTTTTTTGGTTTTTTGCTTTTTGTTTCCTAAAAATATCCAGAGCTTTTACTCGAATAAAAAAAAGTTTACTCGCTGAAGCTGTCGCTACTAAGAGGGGTAACAACAAATTTCTCGACGTTTTTTTTTTTTTTATTGTGTTAATTAACTAATCGTTGCAGCTGAAGCATGTATTTTGCTATGACTTACACACAACCCGCCACCGGTTATCCCGCCGCATGTATACTAGCGCCTATTTGTATGACGGAAGCTGTACAATATTTTTGTCGAAAATTGATACCCAACTCCTTCAAATATATTTGTGTTACGAGATATTTAATTTTGTATTTTATTAAATGCGAACAAAGGCGTATTTTTAAACAAATCAGGAGGAAATAACGTAAAACCAAAATGTATTTGAATGTTACGTCCGTACTCTCGTTACATCACGGAGACATGATTAGAATCACATATACTTACCGATTACTTAATCAATACTTGTCGTATTTAATTAATAAATTACACTTGCGCTCTTGCGAGCCGGACGTATAATCGCGTGTACAATTGAATGTGCGTATAGTTAAAACACCATGTGTACCTGAATGTCATCCTTATTCACGGACTCCTCTTCAAAACGAAACAGAAGATCCTCGCACTTCCGTTTCTCCTCTTCCAGTTGTAGCACCAACGCGCCTTTCTCGCTAAGAAGTTTGGCGACAGCGAGTTCCGCCTCTGTGACCGCTTGCTGCATCTCCTCGCGGTACTAAACACCGTCAACGGATAAGTAAATAAAACACATCAATTATACATAACGAGAAAATCTTCGAGAAACTCTTTCTGCGACAAGATTGTAAAAAAGATTTGACTGATTTGTCGCATTGATAAAATATATTTTCATCGATATATATATTTAAAGAACTAAAGATAAATAAGAAACTAAGAGAGTGTGAGAGGCGAAAGAGAAAAACCGCGATATTTCGCACGTTTTGACCATCTGTTTCAAAAATCCATCCATCATTGACGATTTCTCATACATTGACGTCACGGATATAAGTACCTTATCATATTCTTGCTTGATCGACAGTGCCGATTGCTCCGCTTGATCAGCTTGATTCGCCGCTTTCGTGACTCTTTCGCGTTCCAGGTCCCGCTCTTTTCGCAGGAACTCTATTTCCTGCTGTTTCTCTTTCAAAACTTCCTAAAAATACGAGCCGGATTCCAACTTAAAAAAAAATCGTAACTACGCAAAACTATGTAAGTTTTAAATTTATCAACGATTGGATTATTGTTTTTAGTTTTCGCACAGTAAAATCATCCCCATGCACAGCGTGGTACAAATTTGTTTTAAAATGTTTTGCATTTATGCAACAGCAAGATCGCGCCATCGTCGAGTTTGAACGACGAGTTTTCTCATTGATGCAAAACAATCACGGACACACACACAACGACGACGACGATGACGACGACGACGACGACGTTCTGACAACGCACGATTAGCAATACAAATCGACGGTCAACACTTTACATCGTATTATATCCGACAACGAGTCTGATTAATCGACTTGATGATGCCGGTCGGTCGTCATTTCCCCGCCAACGCAGACATCGGGCCGTTCGATTTACGTCGCGGAAACTGTGTTGCGGAAAATCCTCGAAACGAGTTAACTGAAGAATACAACTCGGAATCGAACAACAACTCGCGTGTGAGAAAAAAAAAAAACGATAGAGGACAGTCGTCTATCGAAGCTACAGAGGAGATTGCGAGGAGAAAAGAAGAGAGGATACAGGAATTTATTAACATTTATATATATACAAATCGCGACTATAACAATTACAAACTCCAATGCGACGAGAGAAATATGTTAACAATAAATAAATAAATAAAACGCAAACGGCGATCGTTGATTGATGATCGCCCGGTTAAATCTCGCTAATCGTCTAATAAACATGTATATAAAACGCACAGTCGGCGAATCGCTTCTAATCTCTCGACAAGGATAATTTAAACCACAAAGAGCTATTATTATAGTTATGATCTCACCTGCAGTGACCTATGTGCAGGTGTTGACGTGCGCATGCCAGGCCTCTGGAATATCGGAAATGCAACAGAAACAATAAGGAAAACGAAATAAATAAACAAAAAAACAAGGTATCGTGCAGCATATCTTAACGGTACTGTTATACTGGACAGCAACTTCAAAATCAACGAGATTAACAATCACGAGGTTCACGCACTTGTTAAAGTACAAATTTCCTTCATTAACAAACAAAAAAAAAAAATCAGTATTGTTAAATAAAAAATAGGCTGTCTAAACAAAAGCAGCGAGCGGTAACTACAATTTACGGAATCGACCCTTAAGCTCAGAAAAAGATTTAAAAAAATTCAGATACACGCAAGTGATTGTTTTTTTTTTCTTTTTGTTTAAATAATTCTTTAAAAAGAAGAACAAGCCTAAGGGTCGATCATCAGCACACCCCAACAAGAATAAAAACAACAATATTCTGCAACTAGGTAATAGTTTTGTATAATGCGGCGGGCTCTGCGATCTCGGTTGCGCATCCTCCGTCCTCTCATTCCGGCATGGTGAATCTTACCCTCGCCGTGGTGTTCGTCGTGCTCGTTCTAGCGCTCGCGACGCTCGACGCGAGGCTGGACACGAGCGATTCGCGCGAGCCGCTCTTCTTCTGCTGCTGCTGAAGACTAGAGTTGAGAGCGGCACCGCTCGGCTTGTGTATTGTGGGTATGGACGGCCTCTTGTTGGACGGTGACCTCGTGATCTTGTGCAAGGGCGCGAACAGCCCGTGCTTGTTCGGGCACTCGAAGTATCTGGATCAACGGATGGGGGATTAAGTTTAGCGGAACTACCGGAACGCCGAATATCGCGGCGCTCAGAGAGAAGAGAAGGGGAGAGAGAGAGAGAGAGAGAGATAGAGATCATGCGAATTATGCACCGCCGAGCTACGCGATGAACCCCAATCATTCGAAGCGAGATAGTCATCCGAATCACGCGTCGAATTAAAACGCGGTTCTCGGGATTCTCGAGGTTGCGGCCAAGATCGAACTCGAATACAAATAAGATAAATGTCCTAATAACCGAATATCATTTATCAAAGAAATAATTGTAACAGTATTTAAAGTTAGAAATCAATGTCCGATCAGTGAGACATTTATCTTGTGGCAATTATTATTATTTTTTTTTAATTAGAAAAACAAGAAAAAATTTATAAATTTCTTTCTTAAATCCGAATAAATCATCACATAATGTGACGATTTTTTCCGCTTATTTGCGCTTAAATCGTCGAGAGAAATAATTCTTCGAACTATTACAACATCGTACGACGAAACGCGATCAGAAAACAAAACGTCTCCACCGAGAGCCAGCTGCGAGGGTTTTCGAACGATCGCTTGAAACGATCGAGGAATATTCAGGGGAGAGACAAGGTGTTCGAAAGAAGGGATGGAAGAGCGTTTCCTTCTCGTTTCTTTTTTGTACGCTCGAAGGATTTGAAGAGAGACGGGAGAGAAAAGGGAGAGAAAAGATGCACACCTTTTGCCATTGACGGAGCCGTCGTTTTTGCCGATCGGCTCGTCCAGCTCCACGCCGCACCATTCACCCGCGGCGAACTCCGTGATGCCCAGGTACCTAAGCACGCCCGTTTTGCTGCCCTGGCTCGACGACACAATCACTCGCTCCCCTATCTTCAGCTCACCCTTCTGCGACACCGTCGAGGACAAACTTGTCGTCGATGCATCTGCGTTTACAAAGTTTTCGCAGCGATGCGCGATTATTATTACACAGCAATTCGAACCGTCGAACGCGCGCGAGAAATCACGGGGGGAGAGCGACAGTTACATACAGAATATTTTATTATTAACTCAGTCAAGAGGTCGCGTGTATCTTATTTTTTTTTTTTTTTTTTTTTTGTCTTCTACCAATCAGCGAGACTTAAAGAGACTCAATCGAATTATAGTTTTTTCTTCTAGCTCGTCTGCTAGACAACAGAGCAAAATTACACGTCTCTCGCGTTTCTACAAATGTAGGACATTCGTTCTGATTATTGTTTGCCGTGTGAACGTTTTAATCTTCACGTTCATTGTTCCGCGTAAGATAAATTAATTTCATTTCACCTTTCACATATACAGGGAGAAGGAACGAAAGTATCGATTTATTGCACATTAGGATTGTTCGTTCTACGACAGAAAAAAGTGGGTGCAGTACAAGTCCGCATGCAAGGTGATTTTCAATGTCATCTATATATGTAGTTTTTTTTTTTTTTTTTTTTTAATATAGTTGCCCTAAAAGGTTATTACTGTGTATCTTCGTAGCAGCAATTAGCATAAAAACGAGCGTCGCGAACATGACGCACAATGTGCGATGGGACAAACTTAAATTAAATCGTGTTCTCATCGGTTTGCAACAAGCTGGCGAAACTAAACTACGTCTTTGCTTTTGCACATCGAACTATTTTGCAGTAGCGTGTTCTTCGCAAGTGCATCATCGCATTGCCAAAACTAAATTCAAGACCTTGATGCTGTTCTAACAAGCACATCTAACGCACAGCGCGATTGCAATCAACTCTTTCCTCCTCCCCTTATTTCTCAAACTGTTAATCAATTTTAACAAATCGTCGCTGAACAACATCTTAAACGGTACTTATTGTTTATATACAAGAGTAAAACTAGTTTTAAACTCTAAAACATTTATCCTGTAAAAGAAAAGAAAAAAAAAACGTTATATATATATATATATATACTGCGACAAAATTCGCGTGAATATTGTTTGTTTAGCAGCGTGCGGCGCTAATTCTGCGTGCAGAAGTCTACGGGCGCGGCGAGTATCTCTTGTAGCGATCCTTACTCAGAGACGGCGACATTGACTTGCTGAGAAGACCGCTTCGAGAGATGTCCGACATCGGGGACGTGATCGCGCTCATCTGAGGATCGTTCAGCGGTGACCTGGTGAGTCTGGTGAGTCTCGAGAATATTCCTCTCTTCGGCTCACATTGGAAGTACCGGCTGCCAGCCACCGAGCCGTCGTTCTTTCCTAAGAGAGTTTACAAGATCGAGTCTTCACTTCTTTCGCAAACACGCATCGTTTCCTGATCTAGCATGATGATCGATTGATCTTACCGATGGGCTCATCCAGGACCACTCCCGCCCAGTCCCCGGGGGCGAATTTGGTCTCGCCGATGTAGGCGATCGTGCCGGGTTTTGTGCCGCCAACCCATACTCGATCGCCGATTTTAAAGCTGTCCGTGTCCTCGGTCAGGACGACGCTGGTATCTACACGCGGACATCGGAGAAACATCGTTTTTTTTTTTTTTTTGGTTTTTCAATTGATAAACTACTGCGAGTTTTAACGTCACAAGTTTTCGGGACATTTGTTTGTCGAAAGATAACACATTTCTATTATCTACAAATTCTATTATGCGCATGCATGATGACTCTATAAACGGTAAATCCAACGTGAAACAAAACACATCGCACGAACACGAGATCACTACTGCATACGCCAACACAATTACGGAGAGAACTTACATCTCGCGAAGATACATTTCTCATTGTTGTGATCCAACTTGGAACGTGATTGTGAACTTGGCTAAATAGAGGAGTTTCGGTTTCGAAAATTATTACTTCACTAGGAGAAACGTATTTTGCAACATACATTCCGGATTGTTTTTGTGATGCAAATTTTTTTTTCAGCTTTATAAAACAAAAAACCAGAGAGCCTGTGGTCCAGGTTGAAGGTGAACGTTTAAATGTAACACAAAACGCAGCGTATTCCGGACGATCAATTTTTATTGGTGATCAATGTAAATAATGATATAAAAATTGTAAACTCTAACGGATTTGTTATATTTTTATAAATTTTTATATTATTATTCACATTGATCACCAATAAAAATTGATCGAGACGTTCGGAATACGCTGCGTTTTATGTTACATTTAAACGTTCACTTTCAACCCGGACCACAAGCTCTCTGATTTTTTGTTTTATAATTGTCTCGTCGAGCCGTTATTATAATATTAAATTATTTTTTTCAGCTTTGTCTCAAATTCGAAAACGCGAAGAAAGATTGCAAGTTCCACTTACCTGATCCTCTTCGTAAGCCAGCCTCGTTTATTTGACGGCCGTGCGACTCCCAGAGAGGTTCCATCTGATCTGTAGAGTGCATTGTCATGCAAAATAACACACAAATACGTGACACTAACGAAGAAAGAAACTAAACGAGACATGCTTTTTTTTTGTCGAATAATTTCGATTTAATTGAACGGGTCACAGAGTTTTAATCAACACCGGTCGATCAATTACCGTGTTAACGATAACTCGCATGAAACAAAATCTCGTTTGTAAACGATCGGTCCTTTCAAAGTCGGTGTGCGAGTAATCTCGTCAGTGTTAAATCGTCAAGTTGATTATCGAATGCTAAGTCAATTACTGATTATTACGAAGCGAGACTTGTCGAAGAGAGATGCGACACACAAGGTGGCTCGGCGTGAAAATCGATCGAGGCTTGGTCCTGTAATTACCGTCGAGACAATCGATGTCGGAAGTCGATCGCAATCGCATCGCAAGCAAGACCCGAGAGAGTTATGTAAAACGTTAACGGCAACGAGTCAGGGTGTGTTCGGATGACGCTGATAACATCTTTTTTTTTTTTAATTCAACGTATGTGACGCGAGATATATTTTAGACGATCGAATTGCGCGTCAAATTATTTTTGACAAGCTCTATTGAGTAAAGAGCAAACGATAGACATAAAATTTTTATTTTGTGTCAAATATTTTAAAATGTAAAATAATCTACTTCCACGGAACGCAAGTTCGCGAGATGAAGTTTCTTCTGTGTGTGTTGAATAAATTCTTTTCTTCCCGTTCGATCAAAGTCCGAGATTGACACACTCGCGTCCCGCGATTTCCATATATAGGAGCGACCCATGCGGCGATTACGCGTCGGCATCGCACAAAGCTCATCATTCACCTCTCTCCCTAACGTTCTTCGTAGTTGCACCGCGAAAAAAAAAACTCCGCAAAAGGAATCACTTAAAGAATGTCCGGGTGACGCGTGGCGCGATTCGCGGCTTAATTGATTATTTATGAAAAAACGGTGGGCGGCGCGCGTACCTTGTTGTTGTAGTAGGTCGATCGCGTAGGTCGAAACCTCTGTTACGACGAGATGAAATCGCGATTACGCGGCCGTGACGTGATATCGCGTATTATTATGCCGATTATATCGCGGGCGCAATCTGCATTAATGCACCTTCTTTTTTTTTTTTTTTTTTACGCACCGCGGCGATTCGCTGCTACGCACAAGGGGAACCGGCCGACGCTGCTCGAGAGATGATAAAATTAAAACTGATCTGATCATAAAGAGCAGTAGATGTAAAAACAGAATATAGAGCAGATTTTTGCGATTAGATCAAGAACGTAAAAAAAAAAAAAAAAAAAAACGTTTCGTTAAATCAAATTGCGATGTTCAATTAAATTTCAAACCGTGCGTAGAGAGTTTTTGTATTAAATTTAAAAACGTGGTTCGCCTTGAAAACCCGGAGAGACGTTTCGCTTATTTCTCTCTCTCTTCCGAAATATTTCCAAACAATTTTTCTCACGCGCGCGCGTCGCAACGACGTTGTGTTTAAACTCGCGAAACGATGACAGGACGCGCTGTATTTGTTAACTCGAGCGTGATTAATTATGATTAATGCACGTAGCAATGATAGACGATCGCGGGATCGCGGCGCCGCGCAATTCATCTCTCGGAGTGTCTGAGAATTATAATATAAGCGCGCGCGTGTATCTCTCTCTCTCCCTCTCCGCCCGAGTTGCAATATTTGCTCTTCGATCGATTTTACTTTTCCCGTCGCGATTATCCCACGTTCCGGATATATCTCCAGAAGGGTTAACAAGATGTCAAGTACCTCCCGGCGAGATCCCACTCGATATATTGTACACACACCGTAACGCAATCTGTAGAAGTAGCCATCGGATACGGGCTGCTTTGCTCTTTCGAGCGTGGATACATCATCCACGAACGTAAACAAGGTTAATAGCTACGGAGAGGCATCATTATTGCCGTTACGTGTAATTCATCCCGCGCGCGCCGTAACGAGATTATGACGTAATGGACCCTCGAGCGTGATCGAAGCAATTCGTAATGGTATCGATTATTATTGCTGCCAAGTGTCGCGATTCCGCTGACATTCTTATTTCGGCGATTTAACGCGTAAAACACGTGATGATAACGGGTAACGTGAAATTTCAATTCTGTGTAAATATTTTTCAAATATTTTCTGCGTGAAAATTTTTGTACCGCGACAGTTTTCGATTTTTCTGACTGAAACTTGCGAAAATACACTCCACCGTCACGCCTACTATTTTTTTTTTTTTTTTTTTCTAGCGGATATTTATAATGCGCGTCGTTTTATTAATATTTACCGAGAACTATACTAGCGCGCGGAATTTCGTCAGACCGTATAAATCGACATGTGCACACATAAGTCTGAAAACCGGCTTTCCAGGTGATCAGGCCTTGTATAAACAGCCCGAAATGAGCATAACCCATCGTGCGCGGCACACACGCGCGCTCATAAAAACCATTTATCTCTCCATATTTAGCCGATGGTGTCACAGTTTCTACCGCAGAACACCATGCCACCACGAGATGAGATTACGTCAGTGCGAAGCGCCGCTGTGAGAGAGAAAAATCGTTTTATCTCTCAGCCATCTTTTCGAGTGCTTGTTAAAAAAAAAAAAAACAAAAAAACAAAATCAGCTGATTGAAGTCAAACTCAAGCGACGAAAATGTAACATTGAGACGCGCACTATTCAATTCGTTTTATGTTCGTATATGTCCCCAAATGAGAGATCTCTCTTCTCTTTCATACAATTTGCTAATTAATATCAAGAAAATTTTTTAAAGGGCTACAAATGTATTTCTATATCGTCCAATAAGAAACTCAGCCTTTTCTTAAAATTTTACTTAAACAATTAATAATTTTAAGTACTACGTGTGCGTGCGTGCGTGCGTGCGTGCGTGCATTCTACAAGTTTGTTCATAAAGCAAAGAATGAGAGGCAGCAGGATATCTCGTTTTTGAACCTTGAGATCCGCGATCGTGTTGCGAAATGTAAGAAGACCGATCTGTCGCGTGTACGCGAAGGGACGAGGAGATGAGAGAGAGAGACAGAAAAAAAAAGAGGGAAGAAGAAGAGAATCGGAGGAAAGAAATCAGAAAGAAAAGGATAAAATCGGGCGCGAGACATAAACACCGACAACTTGCATAATCGCAATGCGTCAGCCGATGCGATTGTAAGCGGGGAAAACGCAACGCAATGACGATGATTTGCGCCAATAAGGCAAGATACGTGCCCTGGATGCGGCAACGATCGCGAAAACGCACCTCGTTCGTTATACCGTGACTAAGACACAAAGAGAGATTCGTCCGATCGAGGAGATACAGAGAGACGTAAAAAATTTGTACGCGCGCGCGGATTGCAAAACGCGAATTTCGTTTATTAACTCGCACGTGTTCCCGTTTCATTCAGAAGTTTGTTAAATTGATTGCGCGAACAAAGAAAAATCAAATCAATGAAATTTATTGTGCGAAAAAGAAAAATTAAGAAATTTAAAAAAAAAAAAGATTTTGAATTCCAAACATATGAAAAAAAGTAGCGAGATCACAAACTGATCTCGATTAATACGGGACAGCAATGTTGAAAAAACATCATGAGAAGAAAATAGTCACAATGATTTCTGCAGAAATTTATGAATTTAAATTTCCGAGATATCGATCAGTTATATCCAGTATGCAAAAGACAACATTCTTGGTCGCGGACTCGAGTCCGCCTCTTCGACTTTCGAGAAAGAGCGGTTTTATCGGTTAAAATGTTTTTTTTGCGAAGCACGCCGCGACACAAGCAACAAAAGTTAAGTCGACACATTCGCGAAGAACAACAAATCTGCATCACGCAGACCAATCAAATAAAATATCGTCAAAACGTATTATTACGTACTATTCGATTAAATTGTATCACCGAATTTTAACTTTTTTTTTTTTTTTTTTTTTTTTTTTCAGATCATTTAAGCGTCGAAAGCTCGACTCACCGCGATTTGTTTGATCTCTTCAAGCAAAATTTCTGCCGGAAATAAGAAAGTTTGTTTTTTCGAAAAAAAGACAAAAAAGAGAAGACACAGACTCGCGAAAAGCTCGAGTGGGATTCGCTGTTAATTCACGTGCGATTGTTTTCGTTATATAGAAGACATAATATTTACCAATTTCTCTCTCGCGCGAGAGACGGGATGCGACGTCGCGAACGATCGGGAAACAACTCGCGCGCGAGAAGCTCGCACGCGTAAAAGTACTCGCTCGCCGACCGACTCTGTGGGCGTGTGTGGTGTTTTCGTATGTGTGCGTGTGTGTGTATGTATTCGCAATATGTGTGTACGTACGCGCTTTAAGCAAATTGATGAGACGCGTCGTTCGCGCCGCGTATCGTTCGCGTATTTCAGGGAAAACGACGAGCTGTGCGCATAAATGTTCCTACGAGTCTAACACGTGGTACTCCTCCTCTTTGGAAATAATTTTGTACAAAACGAATTGCGGAATCGAAAATTGATGACAAAATACATAACATAACGAAAATTAATGTCCGCTGTCAATGTACGTTTTTTTTTTACCAATGTACATTTGTTAATCAAAATTCTACATTTCTATTGTTATATATGTTATATATGTATTTCCATAAATTGAAAAGATTGTTTATATACGCAATTCTTATTACTATATATATGAATAATCTAATCGGTATTTTTATCCACAATAGAAAATTTTTCTAATGTGTATCTACCGAGAGACAACGAAACGTCTCTATTGTCGTCTAACACGAAAACAACATCCATGCGAAATAAAAAAAAACAGCGTAACAACAGTTTTGGCTTCAAGACTCACTGCTTGACGGCCTCGGCGAGGAAGGCGGAATCGCTGGTCTAGGTGGCATAGTCGAGCACGGCCTGCCGATCTTCGTCGGCGGCCTCAATCCTGATGGCTTCGGCTCCGTCATGTTTTTATATACACACTGCAATGCAGCAAAAACATATATTGTTAGCGCAAAGGGGAATGAAAATACACGTACGTCTCTTTGCGAAAAATAGGTTTTCTCGCGATTTTGAAAAATCGCGATTATTACGCTCGAAAATGAGCAAACTTGCGCGCGTGACACCGGGTGTCGAATTAACGAGCGTCTCGGTGTTTAACGCTCGTGCCGACGATTGAGTTGCGCAAAGTATGCAAACAATTTGAGACCGTTTAAGAGGTCGAGGAAAAACACGGAAAATTCGGCAGTCGCGTTGAGAAGTTAACCTCAAAAGTGCGGACAGAGAGAAAAAAAAAACGCAGAAAGCAGGAATCAGAAGTTGCGATCTCACCTCGCGGGATGCTGTTCCGTACGACAGGATTAACGCATTTCACAACACAAATCACAAAAACTACGATTGATAAGCACGACGCAAGACACATCCGACCAGCGCGCAGAAAAATGACAACTGCTCCCGTCGCCAGGCCTGCCAGTTTCACCAAAGCGCGAAATTCCTCCAAATCAGCATTGGGTTTAAAAACTTTTTCCAAGTCCAAAACTCCCTATTGTGTTATTATCACAAATTTCTATTGCGATTGTAAGCCGGACATACAATCAATCGTCGCATTGGTCCGGTCCGATTTACGAATTGACCAATGCGATTGGATCCGTGATTGTGTATTTAAGCTACGATCGCAATCGTTAAATGTCGTTCTTTGGTAAGAGAAAGAAAACGAAGGAGGAGAGCAAACGTACTTGTTAACGTTGTGTTGTAGTTTCTGGTTGTAGGTTATGTTTCCGTAAATTTGGCGCCAAGTGGTTATATTTTTTTATGTTTCAATCTCGTGCCCGATGTTGTTGTGAATTAATCTTCACTTTTATAACTGAACAATTACAGATTTTTAACTTCGAACGCTCCATGATACAGTAATGGTTCGAAGAAAACCCGTGCCGAGGTAAATATATCGTTAATTCGCGCAATTTCTGAGAAAGTAATATTGGCTTTCTTCGCAATTTCGCCGTTTCCCCTTCATACGTTTGTATAATTGTATTTTCTGTATAAATTTTGTAGCATAGAATATATATGAGAAATTGCTGTTGAGTGATGACATATATGTATATGTAATCTTGTAATTGTGTGTTATTTTTGTATATAATAGAAAATAATCACAATACATTGAAAATGTCAGGTCGTTTCAGTCACGTTCTGGAGCTGACGATGCGGCAAAGAAAAACAAAGTGAGTAACATTAATACACAATTGCGGTTAACAGATTATACTTAAACTTATAAATGCACTATATGTATTTTATTTAATCTCATTCTCTGTGAAGCTTTGTTGTTGTGTGACACTTGATAAATATTTTTCAGACAGATGTATTAGTGAACAGAAGAAAGTCAGGAGTTAAAGCTTTGCAGGAAATCAGATATCTGAGAAAAACCACACACTTTCTCATACCCAAGTTACCTTTTGCTCGAGTAGTCAGAGAGATCATCATAGATTTATTTCCCAGGCAGGAAATTACCAAGTAAATAAATTATCTTTAAAATTTAAAAACAAAAAAGTTTTTACCGTTCTATTGAAGTACTGAACGATGATACAAGAAATATTATCTATTTTAAAATTATTCAAAAAGTTCTGGAATAACAATTGTATGGAGGTAGAAGTGATTTCAATGATGTCTAGAAATCTGTTAGATTAAGTCTGAGATTGTAGGTTGATATGATAAGAATTATTTCCTACAGGATACAGGCTTCTGCCCTAGAAGCTTTACAAGAGGCGGCAGAAATGTATCTTGTGCAATTCTTTGAAGATTCGGTGTTGTTGGCATTGCACGCAAAACGAGTTACTCTTATGCGAAACGACATGATTTTAATGCGTAGGTTGAGAGGTCGCAGTGACATTATCAACAGATAAAACTTTCTTTGTTTTATTTACACGTATGAAGTGCCTTAATAGTGTTAATATATTGACGATCTCGCTGGATTCGAAAATAAAGAGAGATATTTGTAAAATATATAAATCTTAGGTTTTCGTCTGTCATTGCAGGTAAACATTACATTTTGTCATGTTCTCTGTTTGATTGAATCGTTAGATATCAAAATTTCAAAGTAAGGATATATATTTTCAAAACTTAGGAGATAAAATCAAATTTTATATACAAATTAATTTAAATCTATTGATTAACTAGTTATGAAAGTAATTTGTAAAACACTAGTTATTTTATATTTTGTGTATTCTATGACGATATCCTTTGATTAACTTTTTGCGGTCTAACTTTTATCTGCACTTTGTTTCTTATTATACAAGTTTGTAAGATCCAATAGAATATGGGACGTATCAGTGTGTTTGAGATACAAAGAATATTGTCTCGAAATATTAATTAACAATAATACCGCAAATGGTTAAATGACGGATAATAATTGTAACCAAGAGAATTGGACGTAGTTTATCAAATTATATGCTAATGTTTTTTGTGAGAATAAAATAAAAATAAACAAAAAAAATAATGCTTCCTTATTAGTCGATTTTCAAACTCGGTTTTTGAGAGAGGAAAAAAGACTCTCTAGCAATATTTATGAGAACAAATAACAGCAAATTTCTTGTTTTGCTAAATAAAATTTATTTCTGAGAAACATTCAAACATTTCGATAAAATTCGTAACTTTACGAAACTTTGGTAAAATATACAGTTTTGCGAGAATCAGGCGGATTTCTTAAACTACACATAACGAAGCGTCGCCGATTTGATTCTCCTGGCGAGAGATATCGTATCGGACGATCGATTACGATAATAACAGTGTTAAAGAATAAAATATTGCGCGATCTGAAAAAAGAAACAGTCACGATTACATATCATGTGTCTTAGTTACTGAGCGCGTTTGCCGCACGCGCGCGATATTCTTTGTCGAAAATTCACACAATTTGTTTTTAGACACAAAAAAAAAATACCGAGACGCGTAATGGTCTACGATCGATTGAAAAACGATATAAATGTTACAAGAGTTGTGAGAAAATATGATTGAATTAAATAGTGTCAAGAAAAACGTTCAATTATCTTTTTGAAGATTTTCAAGAAAGAATGTCGACGAGTCGCGCGTCACTACTGAACTCCTTGTACACTTGTGTATGTGCGTGTATATATATATATATATACAACATTTCCAAGTGTTAGCTGCAATAAGAACAACCATGTTTCGCGACTGCGTGAACTACGCAAATCACACGCGTTTTGTTTTTTCTTGTAAACATTTTGTCTAAAAGAAAAGAACTGCCTAAAAAAATAGTATTACAAATATAACGATCTAGCCGCCTTTTACAATTCGTACGTTTGTTTTCTATATATATTAATTGTACAATATATATATATACAATATACAATATAATTCTACGAGAAAAAAAATACAATACAAAAAGGCACCTGAAAAAGCAGGCCAATTCCCGAGGCGTGTCTCGAGTTGAAAAATCTCGAAGACTTTTTTTATGAAGACACTTGTCGCATGCTTTTAGGCACAACATTTCGCTATATATACTTTCATGCTGCCTGTCATTGTACACGAAACGGATTTACGAAGTCCGCGCAATATTCAAAATACTCTTTCGCATCGCGAAATTAAATAAACAAGAAGAGAGAAACGAAGTAACTCAGAAAGATCGCCGAAGGCGATCGCTGAATACTTCTGCGAACAACGGTCTGAAAGACTGAAGACTCTCAAGTTTTGAATTAACTTCAATTTTTGAACGTATGTGTTTCACAAAACGAATATAATTTTTGAATGATTTTTTGGAATTTTAAAATTTACAATTTTTTTCAACTCTCTTTTGCACACGTTGTTTTTGCGTGTGCATATTTCTTTGTCATTTGTACGCGCACAGTCTCTTAGAGAATCTTTAAAAAAATTTGACCGTTGTTTATAAAAAAAGTTTGCAAGCTTTACTTCTTCTTACTTTAAATTGCGGAATTAAATAACAAAGAGTTTCTTCGCGCTCTACTTTTTCATAAATGACCGCACTTTGTTCACGCACTTGTCCATAAAGTTTCGTTTGCGTTTGGGTTCCGCGCCCGCCGGTAGTGATAACAGCGAACCTGGAGTCTTCGTGCGAGTTCTGGGCCCGCCGTAATCGTTCGACGAGACGCTCCCGTCAGAGTCTAACCCCGCACCACAACTTCTCGATGCTTTCAACAGCATCGTCGATCTGTCGTCGTCGTCGTAATCGTCGTTCTCGTCGCCGCCCTGCGCTATTAGCTTTTTCTGCATCGCCTGACTGGTTTTCTGCTCTTCTATCTGATGTTCCTGGTGTTGCTTGCTAGACATCGCTGACGATTGTCCGTCTGAACTGAAGTTTCGACTCGGTTTCAAAGGACGCGTTGACACAGTCTCTTTCTCACTCTCGTCCTTGTTAGAAGACGTTTGTATGACCTCCGTCTCGGATTTGGATTCAACGTCGAACATTTTTGGCTTCGTCCTGGGAGCGGGTTTGGGTTCGTCCTTGATGGTCTTGACTTCGACATTAGGCTTCTTTTGATTTTCTTCCAAAACAGGAACGGTTTTGTCCTCGCCCGAATTTGCCGGAGTACATTCCCGAGTCTTTTCACGCTGTTGTGTCTCTTGCTTTTCCCCATCGTCATTTTTCGTCGTGATGTCTTCGTCCAGCAGACCGTCCAGACTTCGCGATCTCGGTCTAGGAAGCGGTGGTCGTTGGACGATCGCGGAAGAAATCGGCGATTTTCGCTCTTGATCTTGCTGATCCAACAACTCCAACGAGCGGGAACGCGCCGATGGCGAAGGAGGTTGCCGCGGCGGTCTGCGTGGCACTGCCGGACTGTTGTTGACTCCCGCGTGTACGTACTTGAAACGCGGCGATGTCGGTGGCAGACCCATTAACCAACGAGACGGACTTGACGACTTTTTAAGCCTAAAAAATGAAAACAGTATTTGTTGGCGAGATTACGATTCCGATATTTTTCTTTGATCTTTTCTTTCTGAGATTAAATAAAAAGAGAAAAATAATTGGATTTTTATCTCTTTAAGTTTTCCATTTTTTATATCGAACACCGAAGTCTGATGGACACAGTTGCAACATGCGACTATAAATTTAACACGCTAATCGCATAACGACATCGTGTGAACATCTAAAGAAATATTTTCTTATATGTATACATGAATGTATTAAAAAAAAAAAACACCTTCACCTTTAAATTATAAAAAGCTTACAATAAACACATAAATAGGATTTATAAGAAACTTGTAAAAGTTAAAAGAGACACAAACGATAACAGGGCAATAAACAGGGACAAATATAATGCAAAGATGTGAAGGAAGCAAGAGAAGATAGTAACGTTTTGACATTGTTTAAACATCAATAAAAAGAATTTGTATCGCTGACTGACCTAGTCGTGATTGTCATTGAGCGATTCGCAATCTTGGCTGCGTGAAAACAAAAATTGATGTTACGTTAGTAGAGCTCGTCTCAAAATCAAATTGCAAAAATCGACTCGTTAACGATTGGCAAGAGAGTCCAATGACTTCTTAAGAATTCAAGCTAATGAATCACAAGGGCTCTTTTATAACACGATCTCGGTAATTATAAATTTCTCATCTCATTAGGCTCATCAAAACAAAGTCAGGATCGTGATCCTCCAAAGAGTTAATGAATTCTACGTTAGACTTTTTCCTCGACGTTAACGAATCGATTCGGTTGTCAAAAATCAATATTAGAGCTATGCTAAATTGCAACAGGGATAAACTACCTGCTCGATATGGCTGTGGGCGGGCCATCTAGTCAGTCTCGCCCGCCTGTAGAATCCTTGTCGCTGCCCCTGCTTTCGTTGCTGTGCATCCGCTGATAGTTGGGCGGCTGTCGTACATTCGTGCTGGCAGGTGTGCCCGGCTGGGTCACGTCCTTGGGCGCCATGCTGCGCGGAATTCCGCCAGAGAGCTCAGATCTCACAGGTATCTCGCCTCGCATAAACCTTTACGATTTTATAAAAAACAAAAACTTAAGTTACAAATATCTTCGGAAAAAATACAACGTTTAAAATGACGTTATTAAATAATTAAACCACTTTAAAAGGTAGTATCTATCGTGACTTTTTAACTATAAACAAGTTTGATTCAACAATTGATTTGCTTTACCTTTCTAATTTGTCTACGCAGGCATCTTGATAATCGTGAATCCAGCGAACACCGTTGAAGTGACACACCGCGCGCATGTCCTCGGGAAGTTCTTCAGGTTCCGGCCATTGGAAGTTGTCGATTATCGGGATGATGTTGCACTGCGATTGCAACGCGGCGACAATCTCCTGTAAGTACAATCGACGGCTCGAAGTGAAATATGCGACTTTTAACGATTTAACTAATAAAACACAAACAAAAAATCGCACAACTTTTCATTAGCTTTAACTTTAATTGAATAAAATATTTCCTATAAGATCTAGCAATTATGCGAATATACAGGGTTTTTGAACTCACTCTATGAACCCAGTCTTTGCACTCGCTGTCTTGTATACATCTCTCCAAAGCCTGGGGAGTTAGCACAAGGAGGAAATGTTTAGCTTGTCTGATGCTCTGTAACAGATTGTTGTCGAACTTGCCAGCCTCGAGTCTCTCGACATCAATGAACACCGAAAAACCGCGTAGCTGCAGGTGCACCTTCAATAAACTTGCCAGCTGTGAACCATTCGATCTGCGATAACTGACGAACACATCGAGCGACTTGTCAAGCGATTCCTCGCACGAACTGAACTGATTGTGTTGCATATTCTTGATAGCGTCGAGTATTCTCAGCCGGTGGATGCTGTTGGTGATGCCGCACTCGGTCAGCAGCTGATCCTCTGACAGATTGCGTATCGAGTCCTTGTCCACGCCGGCGTTTAACATGCTGTATGTATAGATCGAGAATTCCTGGCCGATGGACTGCAGAAAGCTGTTGAGGTTGCCAGTGTCGCGGCTGCTATAATCGGCCATCTTCTTCAGATTCTGCAGTTCGCGGGCGAACCTGCGACGCATGATGCCGTTTGTTAGGCCGATGTCCTCGCGCAGATTCTCTTCCGTTAGCTGCAATAAGAGATCACCATCCACTCGGCTCTCTACGAAGTTCGGAGCGACCTCGGCGAAACCGATTTGCTTCACCCATTCTCGAACATCTTCAGTAGACCACAAAGGTACCTGTTGGCTGAGTTTGTGCGGAATTTCTTCGCCGATCAATCTCAAGGCTTGGGCCGCGTACTTGGACGCGATCGCATTTGGACAACTGGCGACTTTCTTCAGCGGCTCAATAGCGCCGATCGTCCGGAAGATTTCGGTGTTGCCCTGTCGCTTCTTGATGCCCGCCTCCATGCAGAAGTGGAAGGCCGCGAGATTGCGGGCCTCTTCTCGCTTCGAGCTCAGCACCGGTACCAACCTCTCCAGCCAGTTCTTGCTTTGACCGTGAGCGTGCGCGAGATTCGACTTGGCAAACTCGTAAGGATTGTGCGACGTGACGAACGGTTCGACGAGATCGAGCGTACCGGATTTGAGAACCGCAGCTTCGATCTCCTTGTTGGCGACCAGCACGGCGATCGCCAGACAGGCGTAGTATTTAATATTGTCGTCGTTGTGGAAGGCCAACGGAAACAGCCACATTGGTACCTTACGTTTTATCATCGCTTCCTGATTCTCGGCGCCGCCGTATAGCGACAAATTCGCGAGCGCCCCGGCGCAGTGTCGCAGCGTCTCCACGTCGTTTTTCCGACACTCGAACAGTACCGCGTCCAAGCCGCCCAGCCTGATCACGTCGCTGCACGTACCTTCGCTGTGTTTGAACAGATGCTCGAGAATGCCGGTGCCGACGCGCGAGTGATCCACCGAGTTGGCGTTCTTCGTGCACACGCACGCAACGTTCACCACCTTCTCCAGACCGTTTTCAACCACATGAGCGCGGTTCTCTGTTGTCAAACATTGCTCTAATAATCTGGCCGACGAGAATTGCAGCTCGTGATTGTTCGCAATGCAGTTTGACATTAGTAGATCAAGACCACCGAGCGTTCTCAGAGTGTTGCACAAAGTATAACCCAACTCGTGGCCATGCGTTGGCACCGCCCAGGCCTTTCGAATGATTTCGTTCACCCTGTTCAACAGCTGCGGCGCCTTGGTGCTGCTCTTCCCGCTGTCCCCGCCCGCCTTCAATCGTTCCACGAAGCTGTCCAGCAGGTTGCAGTACTTGGAGATCGCGCAGTCCACATCCTGCGGATTCGACTTGGAGCACAGCAAATCCAGATCGTCCAGTGGCAAGGATAGCAGTTCGTCCTCGGCCGTTGGCGGTCGCATGCCGTTCATCAGTTGATTAACCGCACTCGCTGCGCTGATCATCGACGACTTGGATGAACTCACTCCCGACTTGGACGCGATCGTGATGCTCGATTGCGAACTCGACGCCATGTGTTTTTCGTGATTGAAGATGCCGCTCGACGTGACCGTCTGTCGTTGCTGCTGCGCCGCCATCGCTTTCTGCAAAGTACAAAAATATCTTCGATATTCGTCGAGAACTGACACTTCCGAGTGATCGAGAGAGACTTTTCTCGAGAGTAAAATACGGATTACACACACGTGTGTTTCAACAAACAGAAAAAGGTAAAAAAAAAAAATTAAAGTATGTTTTTTTTCAAGTTATAAAATGTCTAATTGTAAAACGTTACATTTCAGAACTCGTTTGTACCATTCGCGAGTCAAGACTGCACTTTCTCAACATCATCGCAATTTTCCAGACCGACGAAGAGCGTGCGAATTCGCGCGTTTTCCTCCTCACACGCGAATGTCTCGCGTGAGTTCGCTCTTTCGACTGCGGTCGGATCGCGAGTTCGCCGGCGTTTAAATCACCGCCCGTTGCATCGCGGATATATAGAAATGCGCTAAACGCCGACGTAATTTCTCGCGCGCCGAAAATACAGAGCCGGCCACCGGCGGCGGCTGCGTTCTCCACATCGTTAAGAATGACGATTTACGATTTTGAGCTGTCAGGAAAATCCGGTGGATTTTAATGCGCATTCTCTCTCCTTGATGGTACGCCAGAATTCCACGAATGTGTAATATAACCGAGCGTAGGAAACAACGCCTCGCGGTTTTCCTCGCGATGCAACGTAAAATTCAACAAAATCGCGGAAGAAAGAAAGAAAGATAATTGAGATGATTTGTTTACCTTCTCGGAAGTGAACGAATCACTTTGAAGTTTCATGGTGGACGCCGCCACGTTATTACTCTCCTGATGTGACAGGTCGCCAGCTTTCAAGCTTCTTTGTTCCTGCAAAAGAAAGGCAAACATAAAACTTCGCAACGTGCGATATATTTCTCTTATTTAAACTTTTTCTCAAAGTTCAATTAATTGCGACAAGCGCAAGAAATGTCAGCTTTTATGTTTTCTATTTATAAAAAAATTACTACACAATTGTGTGTAGCAAACAATCGTATCGTGATTCGCGAAGAATATGCTTTATCACTCACTACGCTGATAAGTTAAAATATCTATTGCACCACAGTAATTTGTTATCTATTGTAGCAATTAAGCGAATATTTTTCTCGCCCATCTAAAACGAATTCCCTTGGGACGGAAAATTCTTTTATATATATAATCCTTCTTTTATAATATCTTATTAATCCTAATCTCCATAAGAACTCGTCTATCAAATCCGATCGTTGCGCATCGGACACATTCGGTAGCGACACTCTGTTGTGGCGAACGTTCGACCGCGTTGCAGAGAATTAGCGCGTGTTATCGAAGGTCCAATTATGACGCGCTCGCTAATTTAACGATATAGCGCGAACAGCATCCCGCGTCGCGCAACTGTTGCACTGTGTTCGAAAAACGATTCGATCTTTTTCGACGGTCTGCCACAACACTAACGATCAATAAAACCAAGATACGCGCGGATCGTTCGTTCTCTCTGTCGCGATGATTGAACTGAAACGATCGAAATGTCGCGCGCGAGAAAACGCTTATCGCGCACTCAACAAATTATTCAATTAAATATCATTTGAGACACTTTTTTTTTACTGTACCATCACTGTTTTACGTAAGAAGAAAGAGAGAGAGAGAGAAAAAAAAGAAAACAATTTTGAATAATTACAAAGTTCAACCGTTAATTAACGATTGATCAATTGAGATTACTGACGATAGATATAAGTGCGCGTCGAGCGACCGGGATTGCGACAAATAGAATTAAATACCAATTATTGTGATATCTCGCGGATACACGTCGCGGGTTCTTATCGCTATCGCCGGCACGTATCAGCCTCTGCGACTCGCAGGCTCGTACTTTTCCCCGCGAGACTTCGCGACACAATGATCCGCATTGTGAAAAGCTCGTTGATCTCGCGCGCGTCTCGAACGTATCTCCTCTTCCTCTTCTCTCCTCTCTCCTCTCAATTTCCTCGTCGCTCTCTTGACGTATTCTTCTAAATATAATTCGAGCGTGTCGTCACGGACGCCTGTTACGCGACGTATTAAAAGTCTGATCCGTCGACGACTCTGTCGCTTTGCTAATTCGTGACGTCGCGATATAACGCGAACAAACACAATCGACGTTACAATCAAACCGGCGCGAGAGAAAACGCGCGTCGTCATGAAAGTTGCTCGACCGCACAGTCGCCGCACTCCGTCAAATACAATCTTCATGTTCTCTTCTTCTAAATTTGAGTCTTCACATAATAAATTTTAACACGAGCGAATATTTGAGAGACAATACTTTCGCTCAAGTATCAACTCAATCGCCACCTTTTGTGTTTAAACACGGTAGCGTGTGTGTGTGTGTGTGTGTGTGTGTGACATTTCGCAAATTCTTGAACGGCACACAAATCCGATTTTAAATGCGCGGTTTTGAGATCTGTCACCGGATATTTTCACGAACGCGTTTGAGTCAACGACGAGCACGAGAGTTTCGTGAGAGTATAAACTTACCATTCGCGAGTGTTCGAATTGTTTTCGATGCAACACGCCACGATGTATCGGCCACGGCGCGCTCATATTTCAATCGAAACTCAACATCACACTTGAAACGCGGAATCAGTGATTATTCTTCTCAATTGTTAAAAAATTAGAAAACACTTGAAAACAACTTGGCGTAAAAATACTTCTACTATTGAAAATAATTTGTTTAATTCGTTCTAAGCAAAAAACTTGTAAGAAAATACGCGCATATATAATTCGCATCTTCATTATGTAAATTAAAAAAAAAAAAAAATATTTAATTCTTCTAATTCTACTTCTCTAATATTAATTCAAATTCCTTAGCTAACGTCAAAAAAAAAAAAAAAGAAGAAAAATGTTTTCGATTGTTAAATTGAAATTACGTTTTCTGTACCAACTACAATCATGACGATGTGGATTGACAACGAGAGTCGTCGTAGCAGATCACACTTTGCGCGAGCGTGATGGTAGCGCGGCGCAAACTAATCTCAACTCGCGTTTAGACGCGATTCACTACCCCGCGAGAGTTTAATTTCGTTACGCCCACCGTGCGTACAATACGACGAGGTAGAGGAAGACGAAAGAGAGAGAGAGAGAGAAATAAGGAAGAGAGAGAGAAATGCATTCCGAGAGCGTCAATCACGTAATCGGCTTTTTAACGGCACACACTCGTATCATCTCCCGTTGCTACTATTTTTCGACCAGCCTAGAAATAGTGCGAGCGCGAATCACTCAACGCGAATGAATCGTCGTTCGTTTCGATTTCACACCCGCGCGGACAACATCAAAAACGTCAGGTGTTGCGCGAATCAAAATGCACGTTCTCAAGATTTTCACACGCTTGCGCTCTTGGCAGAATTTTCGCGATCTCATTAGCGATTTGTAACTGTGATGTGTGTCTGTAGAGTTTATTAAAAAAAATCGTAAAGTACTTAAAATATGGAATTTAAAGTCTGTATAAATTTGATACAAATCGCAAATATTATTTTTTTTTCCTCATAAAATCGATATCGAGAACAAATGTGTTTCCTGCAATCTCGTGTTTTCCAAGTCTGCGTAAATTGCTTATCGGTTTGTTTTTTATTGAACTCTTATCGTTGTAACGTTTTTTTTTATCGGTCAATAAAACGACCAACGATCACCTTTTCGTCCGCGACCTTGAAAACACCCGACGGAGTGTCAGTCTGGTTGGCAATTTAACCACACGGGCAATCCATTCGCGCTCTATTTCGGTTCTGCGACACTACAGAGAGACGTGTGTATCGGCGACACTCGGTAAAATTCGCAAAATTTTCTCGTCGTCATATTTTGGCACGGCTTTTCCACCAAAATCTGAACGATGATCTCACGCATCGCGTCACGTCGCGCCGCTGAATGAACGGCGAACCAAACAAACGAGTCTGACGACAAAACGCACGATTCTATTTTCACACCTTCATCCGAACCGTACACCCGAGACGACATCTCGGAAGTAGAAAGAAGATTTTCTCTCTTTCGACCGTGGAATGTTCGCAGATCCAGTTTTCAGAAGGAGAGACACAAAGCAGATCAAATATGTACACGAAGTGTGTCACAGTTCTCATTATTTATCTTTTTAAATTGTGGCGAGAAAAAAACAATAATGCAAACTGATCGGTTGGTTTTTGTTTTCGTGCGCATTTGAAACTCAGAACTCATTCGATTTCGTTGGCCGAAATTGTTTCGTTTACCGTTTGCGAGACACTTCCGTCCGAGATTTGAGAACGACGATGAGGTATCGTAGTATCTCTCGGAAACCTCGCACTTGGGAAGAAGCCCCGCGCCAATAACTTGGACAATTGTTGTCCCATGCAACGGCGGCATGCAACCAGAAGAAAAACCAAGACCGACCAAGCGACCGCCAACGAGAAGCGTTGCGAACAAACTGCCACTATGCGGGAACAGCGGATTATCGACCCGGGGGTTGCGACGACGACTTATTTTCGCACTCGGCCATCCCCGTGACTATTATCATTCACCATGGAAACGAAGAGTTTTCATAATAGAGAAGCAGAAAACTAGGACAAAATAGCTCGAGTCGAAAGAAATGTTAATAAAGAATCTAAATTATTCTTTGTCTTTAAAGAAAGGAATGTTTTTGATATTTTAGCGATTTCTTAATTGTGTGGGACATAAATAAGAAAACGCGTTTTAAAGTAAAATAAATAAATCGCTCGAAGTTCTAGGTGAACATACGTGAAAAACAGCCTTTAAAATCCATCTGGTACCTATATTCTGTGTCAACCGGCTGTCGAAGATCTTGTTGTTCTTTACTTAAGTCTAGCGACATCTATCGGAGAAGCTTGTAAGTCGCGATTGCTGCAAAGATAAGATGTATCGAGCTATGCATTTATCAGACACATCTCTGCAATCTACACAATGTGTCTCATTTTATAATTCGTCGTTAATTGCGAGCGTCTGATTAAAAAAAAAAAAAAAAAACCCCAAATATGGACTTTGAAATTACTTGGTAAACGATGCTTGTGCGACAAACATTTCGATCGTATATACAATAAACTCGTGCCGATTTCGCAAATTGGACGGAAAATGATCCGCAACAAAATTGCATACGTGCTGACAGTCATTTCATACGCGCGTCACAAGGCCGACACGTGGGGTCAAGGATATAGCGTGGCATGTTCGTCGAGAAAAAAAAAAAAAAAAAAAAAAAAAAAAAAAGCGCGTGTTCGAATTTCCTATTTTTTTCGTCAACATTCCTTTAAAAAAAAAAAAAAAAAAAAAAAAAGAAAAATTGTAATGGCCGAACACACCCACGAACGAAATATGGCACGCAATCGTCCCGGCGATTTTTCGTCCGAGTCGGACACGCATTTTTTCCCGCGTCTCAGGAAACACGACAATTTATCTTCTGTTCGCACTAGTCGAGCTCTTTTGTTGGCGAGTAAACCTACGCGCGAGTCACGCAAAGATGCCATCAGCGAGGAAAAGATTAGATTCCGTGTTCGGAAGATTATTCATTTTTTGTAATCAAGTTAAATTAATGCAAAGCGCAGCACTTTGTAGATTAAATATTTTTTTTCTCTCTCTCTGTGATAAGAGACTGGAATAATGGATGAACTATAGACGTGTATATTTTTTTATGCGATAACACTTTACACTTAAATAGTTTATCATTTACCGTTTTAACAAACTGGGTACAAATAAAAGAGCGTTTAAGATTTTAGTTTTACGAGACATCTCCGTAAATTTTTTTTTTTTATTACTATATTATTTCATTTGTCACATTTCTGCTTTGTAAGAGAAATTGGATAACGGATCTTCGTGAGATTAATCATCAGATTCGGAACGAAGCTGGCTCGATTTCTACCGGGTGACCCGAATCGCGTGTAGCGCGAGTAGCAGTTTTCGTTTCGTGATTTATTTACGTCCGACGCGGCGTGTCGTCGTCTAAATTTAGTCAAATTCAGCTAAGTCGACTACTACGTGACTTTTGAGTCAGCAGCATACGGATTTTTGAACGCGAGCCAGACCAACACTCCTCATCCCGGTGCCGGAGAGCGACACGGTGTCTCACGATTACTTACACACGAGGGCTACACTCTCCGAAACTTTCCGCCTGTCGCGATTGTGCGTATACCTCGCGCGTCTCTTTTGCGAAATCAACGCCTTGGCCGATAGTCAAGGTCGAGATTTGCGGTAGCTATCTCGGATGCACACACATACGAGAAAGCGCAACTGTCGACGACGCGCGCGTTTACTTCGCAAAAAAAAAACACGACGGTTTCTGAAAGACGAAGCTGCGAAGAGACCCGAGAGAATTCAATTTCAAGCAAAATTCGACCGATTCTGACGCGATTTTTTTTTTAATACTTCTATTCGCGTCTGCATTTAATATAATTTTTTGACGTTGAATTCTCGAACGTCTAACATCACTTTTTTCTATCTACGAAAGTTTTTAATTTTTATTGCATTGTGTATCTTCGTTAAAAATTTGTCTTGTTATCAGAAATATCGGGTGTAAAATAAATTCTCGTCCGCGGTGTATTTACGAAATTACACGGTTTTCATTTCAGCGAGACACGCGACACAACACAACTGAGGAAAACGCAAACGTACGCGCGTGTCAACGACCCCCTCAATAGTGCCTTAACTCGCGAGTTTCTGCACGCCGCACTTCGTGCCAAATTATTCGAGCCGCACCCACCCAGAGCCTTCTTCTCGATCCTTTTGTCCCCCGAACGAGAAAGATCAGGCTACGAGAGAGAGAGGAAGAGAGAGAGAGAGAAAGAGAAAACGCGGACGCCTCAAAAGACGACACCAAAAGGGAACCTTGAGAAATTCTCTTCTTTGTTTTTTTCTCACTCACGCCGCAATTTTTAATTCAAAGCACTTCTACAAACGCGCGTGTCTTTCTACTTACGAAGTTCGAGGACGATTTCACGCGACTTCTCGCGTGTTTACATTGCGGCAGTAAAACTCACGAAGAGATATCTAATTGTTTCGCGACTGCCGCGTGCAAAGTTCAAAGTGTGTGTTTACAGTTTTTGCGTTTTATTTTACGCGAGGTTATTTTTAATTACACGAAACCGTTACTCACCCTCGCGGCAGCGATGCTCTTTTCCGCCGAGACGCCGTCGAGCTCGACGCGCGCTCTCGCCGCCGTCGCGGCGCTCTCCTCCTTGTACGAGACGTCGCCCGTTTGCAGGGCCCTCATCTCGGCGCTGTTCGCCGTCGCTTTCTCGGCGCTAAATCCATCCGTAACGACCTGAATAAAAACAAAGAATCGATAATTAGAAGAGAAAAAAATCAGAATGAAAAACAGAGTTTTATTTTAGACAATCCGCGTGTCCTAGTTTGAATCCGACGTTTTTTTCTACGCGCGATAGTTGCGGATAGACAGTCCTTGACCTAGACTACCCGGAGGAAGCCGCACCTTGGTAGCCAAACATCCGCTGCGCGTCTAACATCGTCGACGAGCGAATGTAACGTCTATCGAAAGTGACGTGGCGCTCGGCAAATCAGAACTCGAGTTATATTCGTGCCGTATTTTTATCAAATATATATTTGTAAACACACGCGTTAGTTCATATGTTAAGAGCAAACATCGATGGCACACAGGCAAATTCATGAAATTTTGTTTTCGCTATTATCGCATAGTTTAGTTGTCCTTTACAAATAAGACACGATTTTATTTCAATAATCGTTGTATCAATTTTAGATTTTAATCGTTGTAATTGTTTTACGGATTATATATGCGTGAAACTATTGAGAATACAAAAACAAATTCTCGAAGAATATCTAACATATGCGAGAAAAATCACCTTCGTCTTGGAAGCGCTCGTCATCTTCTTCTGCTCGAATTTCATGGTTTCCTGACCAGCAGGTAAATTCGCTATGTTCGGTATGTTTATCGGTGGGCTTATGCCGTGATGAAGATTGTTCAAAGAATTCAGAGAACTCAATTGAGACGGGGAACCGCCTGTCAGTGTGACAGCATCGCTGACAGGTGGCGGCGAGTCCGAGTCCGGAAATGTCACAAGCGGTTCTGTGAGATCGGTCTCTTCCGGTCCATTGCCGTCTCTGCAACATGGGGAAAAAAAAAAACAAAAAAATGTTGTGAAAGAGACAATTTGGAGAAGCGACACAGAGAAATTGAGTCGAGCGCGATAAAATACGAATAATTTGAATTTACTTTCATGTTTTAAATCGTAAAAAAGAGATCGTCAGTTTTATCGCAAAAATTGGTTTATTTGTCGCTGTGACACAATTGTGAGATTATCTCGCATTTCATCGGGATACGTAAAATACGCGCGATATGTGAGCAATATGTTAAAAATAATCCGAGCGTTTCGAAAATAGCGCGAATTGTTATGTATACAAAATGTCCACCGACTCTCGGAGCTTTTAAAGTTACGCAAGTCTTTGTAGTTACGAAGTCTCTGAACACGTGTTTGAAGTTTGAAAAAAAAAAAAAAAAAAAAAAAAAAAAAAAAAAAAAAAAAAGGAAGTGAATCACCGAGCTTTTAATAACTTTT